GCTGGACCTCAGTTTGGGCGTGTTAAATGCCACACTTACTTTCATACTGAGAGTGAAGTTCTCAGTAATTACAAGTTGTTGAACATTCACCATTAATTTCCCAGTCCTAACATTTACAATATAATTTACTCTTCTGAGCTACTTTCTGAAAGCAAGTCAATTTTCATAGACTTAGTTTTCATACTTTTTCATTTGTTTCATTTGTTCATTTAAATAACTGAATAAACAAATACAACAAAATAAATTTTATTTCCATACTTTATTCCAAAGTATGGTCTGAAAGCACATAAGGTATCCACCATGTTGAAGCTAAGCAGGTGGGACTGGCCTGAGTTTGGAGGGGAGATCACCTGGGAACCATATGTAGCCACCTTGAGTTCCACAATAGGAGAAAAGTGGGATATAAAATTTATTTATTTATTTGTAATCTCTGTATACATCCTTATTTCCTAAAAAGAAATTGAGGTGCCAGACAACTATTTAAATGGTAAAACCTTAACAATTAAAAAATAAATACCTTAAAGCATCAATTACTTTATTTATTTATTTAAAACATTTATATGCCATCCTTTATGACAATGTCTCAGGATAGCTTACAACATTAAAACCAATAACCGATAAAAACAATCAGTAGACCAGTACAATAGAATAATATATAATCAGTAAAAATAATAAATCAACAACTACTGTTAAATTTCTAAAATAACTAATTTTTAAATGACATTTAAATAAAAAGGTCTTGACCTGACACCGAAAAGAATATAGGCTCGGCACCAGGCGAACCTCTCTGGAAAGCGCATTACACAGTCTGGGCGCCACCGCAGAGAAGGCCCTACTCCGAGTAGATGTCCTTTTTACCTCCTACAGGGAGAGTTCCCGGAGCAGGGCCTCTCCCGCAGATCTTAAGGGGTATGAGGACATATAAGGAAGGAGACGTTCCTTCAGGTATCCTGATCTGAAGCTGTTTTGGGCTTTATAGGTTAAAACCAGCTTTGTGAATTGGACCCGGATTTCAACTGGAAGCCAGTGGAGCTGGTAGAGGACCGGCATTATATGAGAATAATGGCTGGTGCCCATTAGTAACCTGGCAGCTCTATTTTGTACCAATTGAAGTATCTGGACCGTTTTCAAGGGCAGCCCCACATGGAGCATGTTACAGTGATCCAACCAGAAGTTACCAAAGCATGTATCACTGTTGCTAGGCAGTGCTTGTCTAGGTAAGGACGCAGCTGATGGACCAGCCAAAACTGTAGGAAGGTGCTCCTTGCCACATTATGTAAAAGGCTATTGAAAAGACACATCTCCACAACCTTTCTACTAGCCAAGAGAGAGGCAGTCAATCATAGTTTTTGAGGGAGAATATTCTGTAATTTGGGAGTGACATAGGTGAAAGGACTTTCATCTATGTCCAATAAATGGGCATCTGTGAATAATGGAGTATTCAAGAGGACCACTCTTCTGCCTGTCAGTTTCATTGTACAAGTAGGACCAACACTTGTGCAGCAGAAGCTTAGCACTTTGGGGACAACCTGACGTAAGTGGAAATGCTTGTCCCTGGAATGAGGCAGGTTGGCCATGCTCTCGCTGATTTGCCTCCTTTTCCAGGGAGCTCTAAATCCCCCTTGCATAAGTGGTGGGTTCAGCTTTTGCAGTGGAATTGGCAGACCCATCACTTCCAAAAAGGAATTGACATGATAAAAAGGAAGGGATAGGAATGTAAGCATTCCTTTTTTGTCTGCCCATAAACCCTTCTTTTCTCATCTGGAAGTATTAGATTACACGGACCTCCTGTATGTTTCTCCTAGAACGTAAACCCCAGTGATTTCAGTGCAAATCCCACATCCAGCAGTACATACTTTCTGCTTGACATGCTGCTTAAATCATATTGATTGGTGAACTTGATTCAAAAGCAAACTATTCTCATACCAAATAAATGAATTGGGTGGACAAATATGCTTATTCTGCTAGGATGTTTATGTGTATGAATGAAAAGGCTCTGGATAGCATCTTTTCCACTGAATTTTGTTGAATGGTATTGACTTAGAAATAAGCATTTTATAGCAACAGGGTTATCATTTTATTAAACTGGCACTTCAACATGATAGAATTTGAGTCACTACTGGGAGAGATTAAACATGTCCTTACCAGCTCTTGTCATGATCTTGTCTACCTGTTAATCCAGTTCTCCCTAGCGTTAACTAAAGGGGCAACCCTCTGCAACCCTTATACTGAAATAAGCCCTACAATTTCTACAATTCTCCAGCCAGCCATACTCTGAGTTGTATAGCCTTTCTTTGTTTAAACAAGCATAGAATTGCACCCTTAATTTATCTGTTTTTAGGCACAGATAACAGATTGTTATTTTAACATAGTTAACCTGATCTTTTATCTGCTATCATTTGTATTATTTTATTCCCAATTGTCTTAGCATAAAAATGTTCCAAATAAGGGTTCTAACCTGATACTATTCTAAAAGACAACTAGTGAGAGCCAGAGCTATGTGGTATGTGAACAGAGACCCAGAAGATCTGTGTTCTAGTCCCCATTCGGTCATGACACTCAGCTGGTGACTTGGGGCAGTCACAGACTCCCGGCTTAACCAAGTGATGGTGAACCTTTTACAGACTGAGTGCCCAAACTGCAATCCAGAACCCGCTTGTTTACACAAAGTGCTAACACTGCAATAAAACCTGAATACTGAGGTTTTCTTTTAGAAAAAAACAACTCATATATTAACATCTTTTGTCTTAAAAGGGAGTTCCAGTGTTGTTGTGAAGATAAAATGTAAGCCATGAGTTGGTTTCCTTATGAAAGCATAAATGGCAGGATAAAAATGCAGTGTAATAATAATAAAAACCATTTATCTTAAAATGTATTATAGTTTTAGTTTATAGGGCACAATTCTGTGCAATTTAGGTAGAGAAAAGACCTACAGCTCCCAGCATTGTTCAGCTATTGTGGCTGGCTGGAGAATACTGGAAGCTGTGTGATTTTTTTCTGTCTATGATGCATATGATTGCACCCTTAAGTATTTACAGTTTCTACAGCTAGCCTGCTTTATCAAGACACCTCTGCCTATTTGTAAAATGATACTGTTTAAGCCAGATGTTATTTACAATATTAGTGTCCTTTTAAAAAAATCTGAAATTCCTATATTTACTGTGGCATTTTTCTATTGTTAATGTGGCCTTAGGTTTTCATTCATTTCTTTTGCTGTCCACATTTATACCTCCTAACCTTTCAAGTAATGAAAGTGTAGGTGGCATGAATAAAATTTAGTTGGAATAAAGAATGTAGAAAAGCATCACTAATACAAAGCATTTTTAATACTGGAGTATTGGTCATGGAATAGCTGAGTGTTCTCTTTTGGCAGTACCAAACATTCAACAAGCAGAAGTATGCAAAACACCAATGTTCCTGTTTGTCATACTTGATTAAGCATGTTCTCACAAAGACAGAGTTATTTGCTTTACTTAATCCTTATTTGCACTTTTGTGTTTCCTCAAACTGCTTATAATACCACTATTATTATTTCTTACCAAATGGTGTCCAATTTCTAACACAAATATTCAGATCACAAGAAGGGGCAGGTTTTTGAGAAAAGAATCCTCCATGTTTTTAAGAGCAGCAAGTAGTGGCACATCCTAACGTAGTGTAGTTTCTCCTTTACAATTTATTCTCTTAGATGAGCTTGTATAAGACATATTCAGTTGCATTACCAAGTACAATGCTATTAATTTTCAGTTAGCTTATTACATCCAACTGGTAGCATTTGCATTTCTGTTTCTTGCTTGGAGTCTTGTACATAATGCTCCAGCTATATCCTGAGTGCATTGGCCAACTGGGTTGGGGAAAGGTATTCTAGAGCAGTAGAGGATTCGTGAATGTGTTTAATGTAAAGGCTCAGAAGTCAATTAAAAAAATAAAGAGATTGTCTTTTTTTAAAAAATAAACTTTTAATATTTCACAGAGTATGGCTATTCTTGCAATTTTGTGAGGCTATTTGGAAAACAAAACTATTCCAACTGCAATTTGGCCAACATTTTATATCTTAACAATGGAAAATAAAGATATAAGAAACAGTTACAGTATACATTCCCAGAAAACACTGACAAACATTTTGGGAAGTTGGCTGTATCTTGTGCAGCTTTAATTTCTCCAGGAGAAGATCACTGACTGGCTCACATTCATATTGTAAGCACGACATAATTGTGGTTTTGTACATTTTTCAAAAACTGGATGGAAACAACTATAAAGAGTGCACAGAAAGATATGTTCTTGAATACAAACAGCTGTGTTCGGATGTAAGACTAAACTGTATGAATGAGTGTCAGATCAGCACACTTCCCTTTTCCTCTGATTCAGGTTCAAAAAGAAGATTGGAAGCATTTGCCTCTGTTTTCAACTACTAGGAGTTTATTGTTATATCTAAGCAAGGACAAGCTGTAACTAGTTTTAAATATGGTTTATCCAAACAAGGCAATTTCAAACTGTAGTTTATTTAAGCAAGCCAGAATCATATACCATAGTTAACTGATGCTAATTGATGGGAAAGGAAGACAGGGATATATTTTTACCTATCTTAAGTTCTAGGAAGAGAACAGCTGGTATGTTGCTTGTGGGTCATGGGCTCTCAGGGTGGAGAACATTTTTTAGCCCAAGGGCCAAATTCAGTTTTGGAGAAGTTCTCATGGAAGAGGGTGCAATCCAGTGGGGGGTGGGACTAAAGGCCAAGTGACTAGGATAAAGAATGGGTGAGGCCAAAAGCACAACTTGCCAGCATACTGCAGCTTAATTTTTTTATGGCCAGTAACTAAGACTTGGTAGGAGAATTACAGTCTTTCAGAATAAGGAAGTAAACTGCAAATGATTGATGGTTGAAGGAAAAGGGGTGGGGTCAATGGAAGAGGGCATGGCCGTAATAGGAAGCCCAGAGGGTTTAATTGGGACCCCATGAGGGCTGGACTGAAACTCTAAGCCTGAGTTTCCCCACCTCTGGTCTAATGATTGCCCACCTTTACAGTCTTAGGTTTCTTCATGCAAAGCTTTAGCATCAAATAAAATAACTCAAGTACATTTAAGAGCATACAAACACCTGACACAGCCAGCATGAACATGGTAAATACAGTTTTCTCTGTGGGTCGGGAAATAAAACAGTCTACTGTATTTGGGCAAGGAAAGTCACTGCATTTTACTACATGAGGCATTTTGTACCCTCTGTACATGAAATAAAATACATACATGAAGATAGCTTCAAATATAATTCGGAAGAATATACTGCTGGTGTATGTCCACCATAGGGAGCCCTCAATATGAAATTTTTGTCTTTTTAGAGCTTCAATGTCAACTTTCTCTCCATGCCTGTGTTTTCTTTTCTTCTCATGCCTTCTGTAGGCAACATGCATTGCCACTAAAAGTGCAGGAGTAGAGACAAAGATAAGCTGGAGAGCCCAAAGTCTGATGTGAGAAATTGGGAAATATTCATCATAGCAGACATTTTTGCATCCAGGTTGTAGAGTGTTACAAGTAAAATCTTGCTGTTCATCTCCCCAGACCTTTTCTGCAGCAACTACGAGAATCATGACACGGAAAATGAAGAGAATGGTAAGCCAGATCTTTCCAATGCTGGTAGAATGTTTGTTTACACCTCCTAAGATGGCTTGGAGCGCTTCCCAGTTCATGGTTGTGTTTGTATGTTTAACCTATTAAAACAAAATGAATATGCCAAATATAAATTATTATAATTCATAATAAATGTTTTCCAAATCAGAAGGTTCTCCAACATCAGAGAAATCCAACATCAGAACTATGTGTAATCAAAGTACCAGGAAAATTATTATGTTTTGGTTTTGACCCTTTTGCCATACATTCTGGTAAAATAAATGTTAAACCTTGATATAAATATTACCATGTATTCTAATGATCTTAATAATATTAAAATACTTGAATAGTGAGTTAAAATGGCTTCTTTCCTCAGAGGATTATTTTAACACAGGACTACGTGGAAAGCACACAGTAATTTTATATAACTAGAAATTAGGTACTGTACTAAAACCGTGATATTAACGTCAAGATATTTCTCTGTTCTGCTTCTACAGAAAGAGTCCTTTAAGACTATGTGTTGTAATTATTGCTAAAGAATAGTTTGGTTATTATCAAATTGAAACACTGGTAATTTTTCTTCTCCATAGTTCTTTCTAAGTGCCAACCTAAGACATCACTTGTTACTTGAATAACTTGTATGTATTTACAGTATCACTGCAGAATTGCATTATCTTTATAACTTTCCAGCTTATTCTGTTAAAAAAGATAGGTAGCTGCCTTACACTGAGTCAGACTACTATTTCATCTAGCTCAGCACTTACTAGCAGCAATTCTTCAAGGTTTAAAAACCTTCAGATTTTACACTAATCCAACCTTCTCTAACCTGGTGTGTGTAGGAGGTTTTGGACTTCAATTTCCATCAGTCCCAGCCAGAATGGCAACTGGTTTGAGATGTAGTCCAAAATATCTGGAGAGTGCCAGATTGGCGGAAAATGCTCTATGGTCTAGTATTAAGTGCATTAGCAAGAATTCCCCCTTCCACTCCCTTTCTCTATTGGAGCAATTTGATTAGAAACATCCATTTCAGCTTTTAAACTAACCTATTATATCCAAACATGGAAAACTTTGATTAATTACATTTGGTGAAAATGCCAGGATCATAAAATGCTGTTTGAGTATGGTTTGTTTGAACTAAGCATGGTTTAAATTAAGCAGAATTTGGATATAATGGAAAATTGTGTGAAAAAGTAGAAGTGAAAACTTCCAATCTAATAACTGCTCCAGAAGGAATATGTGAAGCCTGTGCATTTAGCGCTAAGTGATGGATTAGAGTTACATCTGCAAAAAGCAGGCTTAAAGAACCAGTGTGATGTAATGGTTAAGAGTGCAGGTTTGGGACTCAGGTGATCTGGGTTCTAGCCCTACTCAGCCATGGAGCCAACTGGGTGATTTTGGGCCAGTCACAAACTTTCCGCGCAATCTACCTCACAGGTTTGTTGTTGTGGGGGCAAGGTTGAGAGCAGCAGGAGGAGACTAATGTAAGCCACTTTTAGTTCTTCAGAAAAGCAGGACATAAATTTTATAATAATTTTTATTATTTTATTAACAATAATTTTTATTAATAATCATAATTCAGATATAGTACTAAACAATGGTTTAGTGTTACAGATAAGATATGTTGAGCTTCAGGTTTGTGTGTGTTAACCCTCCCCTCCTCCTTTGCACATAGATGGTGGAAACTGAGTTTTGAATAAACTGCAGTTTCCTGTTATATCAACACAAAGGAAACCATAGTTTGCTCTAAATGTGATTTGTTCAAACAAAATATGATCAAACCATGATTTCAGATCCTGCTTTGCTAACTAAATTCAGTTGGGAAACTAATTTGTTCTGAGTTTTGACATAATGGAAATTATTGTTTTTTTCTTTTTCCCAAAATGGAAAGTGAAAGTTTTCAGTTATTTCTCCATTGCATACATCGGAGAAAGAGAGACAGTTTCTAAGCCTGAGTCTCACTACAGCTCATACAGCTCATTCTCATAATTCTCATTATGTCTGAGCTGGGTCAGAGTGAAAGAAAGGGAACAGCACAAAGCAACTTTGTCACTTAGTATTGAATATGAATGTTAATGGTTGATGCCATTTATGGAAATGCTCCATTGTGGAGGATATCTCAGGATAAAAACTTGTTTCAGGAAACAATTCAAAGGAACATAAAGCATATCTAGTTTTAAGTGCCATGTGACTGCTATGTCATCACTATAAACTATAATCAGTCTCCGCTGTCAACACCAAAGACACAAATCAGTGGAATATTCAGTTCCTGTACATCAGAAATTGTGAATCAGGCAGAGGGGAGGTGGTGGTCAGAGATCTCAAAAAATATCCACACCGCAGTTGCCAAGATTTTGGAAGAAGCCATGATAGCTTCCTCATTTCTCCATATCCGTTTTTCCTTTGTATCATGTACAGTGGTACCTGACTCACGAACTTAATCCGTTCCAGGACTCTGGTCGTGACCCAAATTGGTCATGAACCAAGTTAAATTTCCCCATAAGGTTCAATGTAAATAAGGTTAATCCGTTCTGTAACCATTTTTTAAATCAGAAAAATGTGAAGCAAAGTGACAACAGCAAAGATCGCAGCCATCTCCCCCCCCACCCCACCCCAAGCACAAGCGCGGCCATCTCCCCGCCCCCCCAGCACAACCGAGATCGCACCTGTCATCCCTGCGCACAGGGGGGTAGGAGGGAGAGACGGGCACAATTGCGGGCACACTGGGGGAGGGAGAGAGGGGCGCAAACAGTGCGCTGGGGGTGGGGAGATGGCCGTGATCCCAGTTCCGTTCTTGCAGGGAAGATGTGTGTGATCAGAGGCGCGCTCCTGCAGGAAAGACAGGCGGAATCTCAGCCATCTCCCCCGCAGCTCTGCTTTGCTGCTCTCGTCTTTCCTGCAGCAGTGCGCCTCTCATCACCATGACTTCCCTGCACGAAAGCAACTGGGCTCACGGCCATCTCCCCACTCGGGGGGGGGGGAGATGGCCTCGATTGCAGTTCCGTTCGTGCAGGGAAGGCATGCGTGATCAGAGGCGCACTCCTGCAGGAAAGACAGGCGGAATCTCAGCCTTCTCCCCGCAGCTCTGCTTTGCTGCTCCTGTCTTTCCTGCAGGAGTGCGCGCTCTGATCACGCATGCCTTCCCTGCACGAACGGAACTGCGATCGTGGCCATCTCCCCACTTGGGGGGGTGGGGAGATGGCTGTGATCTTGGTTGCCACCCAAAGCGGTGCTCGCGACCCAAGTTAAAATTTTTCAGAAATTTTTGTTCGTGACCCGATTTGTTCGTGAACCAAGGCGTTCGTGAGCCAAGGTACCACTGTATTTTAGAGTACAAGCTTGAGAGCTGAGTCTGCATTGTTTCTAATACTCTTTAAGTTGTTTGGGTAAAATGCTTTAAGTAAACAAACATAATACAAAACAGCTAAAGAATTTAATGTTTGTATCAAATGCCTGTCTGAGACATAGCAGCTTTTGATACATTCAGGCTCATTCTTACTATTTTCATTGAAGTTGCTTGATTAGTTATATTAACTACTCACCAAAATAAATATGTCCAATTATTTTGCCTCTATCTACACTCTGTGTTGATTACAATGCTAAAAACAAATAATGAACTTCAGCTTTGCTAAAATAGGCAAGGCCAGGTTCCCTTGTAACAAGCACAGATCTCCAGCATGTTCTAACATGAACCCTTGAGGTAGTAGCTGTGATTACACATGCTAACTCTAAGGTATATGGATTGTGTCACAGATATAAAGTAATTTGATGCGTTAAGACAAATTTCCTGCCAGAACAGGCCTACAGGCAGGAGTTTTGACAGCAGGTTGGATTCAGGATTCCACATCAGATCCATTGCTTCATCTTCTGTACAAAGAAGTTAAACTGTAGGTATTAGAGATGCTGTTCATTCACATAAACTCCTATATGTTGTATTTTGAGTTCATTCCTATATGTCGTTTTTAGAGTTCACTTTTAAAGCACAAACAGTTTGCTACAGAAATGTATGCTCTGCGTGCATCACAGAAATAAACTTGTTTTTATACCCTTCTAGCTTTTATCTATCTCTAGTGATATTGTTTGCACTGAAATAATTTGGAGAAATACAGTAGATGCAAAACATGTGGACAATAAATAAAAAACATGTAAAAATGAAAGAATGGTGAAGCTTTTTTGAGGGAGGGAGGGAGTTGATGTATTTTTGATTTCAGAAATCACATTCTTGCCTTTTTCCAGACAAATTTTGCTGGCAGAAAGAATATTACTGGGCATAACTTACTGGGGGGTGGGAGGTGGGAAGCATGTATGTGTATGAAGGTGCAATTTACTCGATGAATCACTAATTGCCTTGAAGAGCACTAGTTAAAGGAACAGAACTACATGGAATCCTAAATGGAATCCTTCTGCCTTGGGCAAGGCATCATTACCAGAATAGACAGGAGTGTGCAAAAAAGAGTAAGGAATTTGTAGGTTGAATAGAAGACAAATGGACAGCAATAGACAAACTACATTAGCTATATATAAGGATGGCTCTTTCAAGAAAAAAAATCTGTTTTCTGGAGAAAGAGAGCCACCACATCCAATTGTCTCAGTGAATGACTGAAAAAAGAAGTCAATGGAAACTTCTTCCCTGAAAAAAATCATTAGCATTTCTCCCTATTCCCTCTCTCTATCACACCCAGCAATTCAGATTTCTTCAAGAGCAAAAGCAAGGAAAATCGCTTCCCTATGGCAAGTTAACCAGCTTTTCCCATATACACTAAAATCACAACACTTCTGGAGTGAGATCACAGCAACCCAGACTGATTTCCCCTGAAAGCGCACAAATCCTATTAGGCTCTGAATCCCTCTGCATCCCTTTTAATGATCAGGCGCACGCACTACTATTCACATTCTTTGGAACCACCTCCTTTTCCTGTTTGTAAAAATAAATAAATAAATAAAAATTTGCATCCCAGGGGAAGGAAGTAGAGCGCGCGCATCTTTTCGAAAGCAACCGCAGCCGACGTCACCTTTCTCAGCCTTGTGCGGGCGGCGCACTCGCTCGTTGCCCCAGCAGAGCTGCTCCCCAGGCGGCTCGCGT